TTTATTTTCCCTTTACAACAAGCTAAGCCAAGCAAGTTTGTCAGAGGCAGAGTGCTCCTAATTTGGTCTCCAGTGACCTCTGCCGCCGTGATTGGCAGCCCGGTGTCAGCGAGGAACTTGTGCCTGTGAGATAGAAATGAGCAGAACAAATGCCGTAGGACAGCTTGGGTTCCCCGGGGGACACGGGCTCAAAAAGGTGAAAGAAGTGCAATTACAGGAGGTTTTCAGCACAGAAAGTTAATTAGCTACTAAATAGCATTTAGTGCAGTTCAACGTGGGGAAATTTATGTTTTGAAAGCAAACAGATCAATGGAAAGCCTGTGGAACAAGCTCTTGGAAAGTCCATGTTGACATCCGTGTACTTTGTACTGTAACAGCCTGAGTAGTTTTTCCCAGGTTTCACCGACAAATAGGAGGAATTGTTAGGTTTGTTTCCCACGTGTTTGCAGATGTATAGAAATGCTTCCACATGAGGATGTTTTGACGTTTAATTTTAGAAATCCTGGCTAGGCTTTCTAAATCCAGGCTGTCCAACACCTTGTTCCCTGGTCACCGTGGTCAGTGGAAATCGATTCTGCTCGGGCTCCCTGAGGCACAGAAACTTCAAGTTCCAAATGATTTCAGCCACAGGGTGAATTTAACACAATTCTTAACCTGGTTACTCGTCTGTGCTGGTCACAGTGTGACAGCAGAGGTTCCCTGTCCGTGGCTGGCTCTGTGAGGCCACACTCCATGGGAAGCTGGTGCTGTCCTGTGAGTGTCCTTCCAGCCCTGCTCTGCAGAGCGAGCAGAGACCTTTCAACATCTCTTTTTTAATCCTAAATTACCAATCTGGTTTCTTTCGCATGTCTTTCATGTCACTGAATTCAGCATGTTTCAGTCTATAATATATGTATATTTTCAAGGACACTTTTTTTATCAGAACAATGGATTTGAGTTCCAGATACTCAATATTATCTCACTCTGTACAGCCACTGCACTAAATTTTTAGGAATTTCAGGGTAGCTTTGAACTTTTATTGGCGGATTATTTGTTTGAAGCTGTCTGTCTTAGCAGCTGATGCTGCCAGGAGCTGTTTCACCTTGCTGGCAAGAAGAGGAACCCAGAAGGTCAGTGCCTGTGGGGAACAGTGGAGAAACAGAGAAATGCTAACCCCTGGGGAGGAAAAGGGGCATGTAATTCCCATTACATGGATGCTCATACATTATGATGATACTCATTGTCTGTAAATGATGGTCCCAAGCCGGCGTGCAGGAATGCTGGGGCTGTGGGAGCTGTTATTAGTGACAGCCTGTGTCAGTGCAGGGGTGATGGAGAGCCAGCCCAGCAGCAGGGTTGGCTCTGGCAGGAGGCTCTCTGGGAATCAGGTGGTGCACGCTGACAGCTTGGGTAACTGCCACATCATGGCTGCAGCCTTCAGCCCCTTTCTCTCCCGTAATTATATTTGTCACATCACATCGTAAAATGAGTTATTAGGTCTTTGTTGCTGAAATTGGCTTCCCAGGTAATCAGGTCAGGTCTCTGGAACAGAAATAATAATTGGGTTTAGCTCTCTCTGTGCCGTAGGTGTGTTGCAGGGCTTTGGAACAGTGAGTTGTGTCCCACCTGCAGTGTCTGAGCCGGGTGTGCAAGAGGTCCCCTGGGCTGGGAGGGGGGTGGTGGCCCCTTGGGGCTGCAAAGGCTCGAGGAATGTGGACATGGTTGGCTGCTGTACTTGATTGTTGAGTGGGGAAAATACATCAGCCCCTGGTCTTGCTCTCCAGCAGGACTGGGATGTGTTCTGAGACAAGAGTGGTGGGACTTGGCTGAGGCCAAAAAGCTGAAGTGGAATCACAGAATCACAGAATCGTTTGGCTTGGTGGCCAGGGCCACCAGTGACCCACGTGCCCAAGTGCCCCATCCTCAGGGCTGTTAAATCCCTCCAGGGGTGGGGACTCCACCCCTGCCCTGGGCAGCTGTGCCAGTGTCTGACAGCCCCTTCCATGAAGAATTTTCCCCCAATATCCAACCTGACCCCTGCCCTGTCACAAGTTGAGGCTGTTCCCTTCTGTCCTGTCCCTTGTTTCCTGGCAGCAGAGCCCGACCCCCAGCTGGCTCCACTCTTCTGTCAGGGAATGAGAAGGTTCCCCCTGAGCCTCCTTTTGTCCAGGCTGAGCGCCTTTCCCAGCTCCCTCAGCCTCTCCTGGTGCTCCAGCCCCTTCCCAGCTCCATTCCCTGCCCTGGACACCTCCAGCCCCTCCATGACCTCCTTGAACTGAACACATGAACATGGCCTGGAATTTCCTGATCCAGGTTTTCTAATCCTCCTTGATTTTTTTCCCTCTCCCTTTTATTCCCGTGGCCCACTGTACTTGTTGTTTTGCTGACCAGTGCTGTGTACTAGCTGGTGCTCTGTTTTTCCTGGATCCCACAACCCAAAGTCTCTCTGGAATGTTCCTCCGGCTATTTGCGTTGCAGTGCTTCAGCTCCTGCTTTTACCGGGTGCTCTGGGATAAATTCCTCAGCCAACAAATAGTCTGACAATGAACTCTTCCCCTGCATTTGTCTATCTTGAGTGCCTGGTTAGAGGACTCCTCAAACCCCAGAAAATTAGCAGTGATCATACTGCTTGTTGTTACTGACCTACAGAATGATCTCAGTATTAAAATCTTATTTTAAAGTAATCCGGAGATCAGAGTATTTTCAGGTTTTCTTTTTCAATCAATACGTACAGGAAAAAGTAATTTTAGTCACAGTGCGGGTTTTTTCCGAATTTCCCCGGTGACTCAGTGAGCACCAGCTCGAGGTCTCTGATCTGTCATGAGTGTGCATATTTGTGTCCATTGACCAGGCCAGGGAGGGCACAGGTGTCTCTTTCAGATTTCCCCCTGCACATCAGTGAGAACATCGGAATTTCCCCGGGCTGCACAGGCTGAGGCACTCTACTCACCCCTGGTGCTCCTTGCAGCCTGCAAGGGCTGAGCCCCCTGGCACAAGGCTGTTCCTTGCCTGCGGGATGCGTGTGCGAGCCTGTCGCCGCTGCTGGACGGGAACTGTCAACATTTGTCTTGGAGAAGCATTTCCGGAGCTTCCCCCGGTGCCAGGGCCGTGCCCGCAGGTCTCAGCTGGCAGCTGCTGCATCTGGGACACATTTGGGTTTAGGAGCACAGGGAGCTGCAGCTGGAAATGCTGTGCTGCACTGAGGAGCTGCAGAATGCCCAGCATCAAAGCCACCCTGCCCAGCTCTGCTGGTAACTCATTTCTTGGCAGCTCTCTGGACATTTCTGCTGGTCGTTTCAGATGATGTTCTTGAAGAACTGGCATGTGGACCTCTGTGACCAGGACCTGCATGATCCTCACACCAACCCATCCTGCAGCCCTTTGCCATACTGACCAGCTCGTCTTTGCAAGAATTTTAGAAAATGGGTTGCCTCTGCTTGGTCTTTGAGTTAGTTTGAGTCATCTCTTCCAGGAAAATCCTGTGTAACCAGCTGTGGCTGTTATGAAGTGTTGCTCCATAAATACCAGCTGCTCCTAGCAGGCAGTCCAGCCCAAGTGTCTTGTACCAGGACTCTTGTTATATTTGTGTTAATGTTAGATACTCAACGTTTTTAAAGTGTTACATTTTGCCATTTTATCAGAAAGTAATGCTCGATTTTTCATAAAGGCCAATACAATCTTCATGGAAAAATTCCCAAGGCAGGGGATGGTGTACAGCTGTGCCTGTGGTCAAAGGTATCCTGGTTCTAACCTGGAGTGAGTGTGGATGTGTGGTGTGATCCCTATTGCCACATCCCCTAAATGGCCTGAATGTGAGTTCTGCTTTGCTGCTTTCTTTCCAAAACCCGGAGCAGCAGAACTTCCCAGAGAGCCACAAAGCTGCTCCTTTAGCTGGAGTCAACCAGCCTTGGTCTCACCCAGACAGTGGCACAGGAGCAGGAATGGCTGGGAGGGTCTGAGTGGCACACTGGGACAGGGTTTGGTTAGAAATGTCCCCAGCTGGCTGGGCTGCCCGGGTCTGTGGGGCAGTGCTGCCCATGAGGCTGGTCCCCGAGGAAGAGGCCCCGAGCCAGGCAAGGGAGGCACAGGGATGTGAAGTGCATGCTGAGTGTGTGATTTCCAGCGTTCAGTGCCCACATTGTTGGATAAGAGGATTAGAAAACACCACATAAAGTGGCCTTGCAGGGGGCTGCTTTGTACCTGCTCCGGGCCTTGTCTGGCAAACCCCAATTTCACAGCAGAGCCCATTCAGAGCCCGCGCCGAGATTGTTCACGTGCATTGGCCTTTTTACGAGCCAAGGGGTCACAGTTTCACATCACTCCATTCCCAAAGCACTGATATTTTTCCTTTGGGATGGGGGCTGGCGGGGACATGGGGGCTTTTTGAGTCTGAGCTCAGTTTGCATTTAAAGCTGGAGATCTGGGGTGGATTGGGAAAGGGTTGGGTTCACTTTCTCTCCTTTGCAGTGGGTTGAAGAGCTCAGGTGTGGTTTCCCAATCCTTAACTCTCCCAAGTTTCAAGACTGCAGGTTGTAGCATTTGTCTGGAGTTTATAGACATGAATCCAGGCTTGGCAGGTCCACTTGCAGAGGCATAATGAGAAACTCAAGTTCAGGGGAAACATCTTTGGATCTTACTGGTCAAAGAGGGAATTTCCCAGGTGAGATCCCAGATCCATGCTGCTGTTGGAATGTGCTCATTCCTCCTGTCCCTGTCCTGGTGTGGAGTGGCTGAGCTGGACACCGAGGGCATTGCTTGAGCTTCTTCATTTTGCCTTCTCAAAAGTTGGCGTTTTGTGGAATGGGTTTGGCTCTCCCCAGTTCTGCATGCAGGAACTTTAGGAAAAGGCCAAAACCAGGATGCTTTTTGAGATGGTAGAGAATTAATTTAAATAAAACCAATTTAGTTGGTGAATGAGTGCCAGTTTCAGAACTCTGACAAAAGGTTTTTAAGATGGAGCATCTGTGATTGCTGCATGTACCCACAGCCTCGCGTGGCTGACGGGGTTTTTGTCCCCACAGGGACACGTGTGACAATCGCATGACCTGCTCCACCAGCTCTGCCTCCAGCCTGGACACCAGTGCCCAGTTCCAGGAGAACAATGGGCAAACACAGAGCACCAGATGGGATGAACAGCAGAAGGTATTTGCTCTGGAGCAGGTGTGTGGTGTCTTCAGAGTAGACCTGGGACAAATGAGATCCCTTCGCCTTTTCTTCAGGTACTGGGTCCTTGTGTGTGAGCTGTGTGTGAGCTGTGTGTGAGCTGTGTGTGAGCTCTGTGTGTTGTGAGAATTGTGCACGAGCTGTGTGTGAATTATGGGAATTGTGTGTGAGCTGTGCATGCTCCATGTGGGGCTCTGGGTGGAGGTGATTTCTGCAATCCTACCTGGAAGCCTTTCCAGAACAATTGTCTCTAGGAAAGTGAGTGTCAGCCTTCCCAAGGAGAGCCTCTGAATTACAGTTACAGAGCCAAAAGGATTTTATTTTTAGTAAAGTAAAGGTTGCTCTTAGCTGTCATACCATAAATGCTTCAAATAACCTGGGGATATGAAAAACATCTTTATCTATGGTACCTTTTCCTTTGCCTGTCCCTCACCAGGCTCCTCTAGAGTCTTGCTGCTCTCAGCCTTTTCAGTTACCTTTCAAATTATTACAAAATTTATTTCAAATTATTGCAAAAACATTTTTACTCTCTCTTTTTGCTCTCACTCCCTATTTCTTTGGACAAAGCTGTGTGTGAGCAAGTCTGCACATCCCTAGGAGCTGACTTTGTGTATTGCCTTAATGTTTCTGGGGCAGACTTCCCGTGGTTTTTTCTCCAGGGAAGACAAATTTTAATTCCTTCATGTGAAGGAAGGGTAAAAATAGTGCTGTTACCAGGCACAAGTGGAGAAAATTGTCACCGTGACCATGTCATACAACCATAAAATGTCTCAACTGGAAGTGACCCATCAGGATCAGTGAGTCCCAGAGATGCAGAGCTGCCTCTGTGCCCTGTTTTAGGGGCAGCTTGGTGTGTCACTTTGTGATCTCTGTGCAGTGCCTGTCCCCGAGGGTCCCTGCTGGTCCCTCCTTGTGCTGGGGGGTCCCTGCAGGCTGTTCTCCATTGTTCCCACAGCGATGAGGCGTGTACCTGTGGGCAGCTGGTGGTGGCGAGCAGGGAGAGCCAGTACAAGATCTTCCATTTTCACCACGGTGGCCTGGACAAACTGTGCGAGGTGTTTCAGCAGTGGAAGTACTGCACAGAGACCCACCTCAAGGACCAGGTACTCTTGGGGCCAGGTGTTTCACCAACATGTCACCAGGTCAGGCAGGAAGCTGCCAGGTGCTGGGTTTAGGAAATGCCAGCTGGACTCAAGGTCTCTCTTGGACTTGTCTGTCTCCTTCCACTCCTGTTCTACCTGTGGAATATGGGGGAAGATCATCCACAAGACTTACTTAGGTAGTGATGTTGCTAGACCTGACAGGTCAGCACTGTCCTTTAGGCACAGAAGGTGTCTGGAAATCTGCAGAGATAGGTTGGAAATTGTGTCAGAGCCTTTCATCCATCTTGTGACGTGTAACATTCCGTTTGGAGAATGTTTTGACAAGGCATCTTGCCATATTTTGTTCAATCTACATACAAATGTGATAAGAGCTCTTTAATTATCTGTTTAAGATATTGTATGTGCTTATTAGAAACAGTGATTTTTAAATTTCCATCCTTCCCACAGAGCCCCCCGCTGCTTTTCTTATTACGGTCGCATGGGCTCACTTTTTGCATTGAGCAACCTTTGATTTTTAAATTAAATGTCAGCTGCAGCCTTGCACTGGGATCCTGAGTGCCCTCAGAGAGCCTGGCAGCACAGTTCCCTGCTCTCCTAACAGCAATCCCTTTGTATATGGCCAATCATATGTAATTTATTGCAGGCATTCCTGGCAGGGGCAAGTTTTGCTGTAAGCAGCATTAATTCAGTTTCAGGTCAGGGATAAGATTGGAGGAGGAATGGAAACTAATTTTTTTTTTTAAGATGAAGCAGTTTCGTGGTGGATTTTAATTATTCTAATCACTCTTGTTATTGTAATGGTTGGAATTAAAAAAAAAAAAAAAAAAAAAAGCAGCAATAAAACCTCCCCAAGTGCTGCTCCTCAGTGCTTAATCCTACATGAACCATGCAGGGGTTTCCCTGCTCTGGGTTTCACACCGGGCTCCTGCTGCACCGTGGTTTGTTCTGCCCTGTTTTCAGCAGCTTGCAGATGAGAAAACGTGCATGCAGTTCTCCATCCGCCGGCCCAAGCTGCCCTCGTCAGAGACCCACCCCGAGGAGAACTCGTCCCGGCGCCTCGATGTGTCTGCCTGGCTGCAGCACCTCAACGAGGCCGGCCAGGTGGAGGAGGAGTACAAGCTCAGGAAGGTGAGAATTCCTGTTCTGTCCTGTGCAGAGTCCCCAGGGGGAGCTGCAGGAGTGGCGCTGGGTTTTTGGGCTTTTGGGGTTTTGGGAGGGTGGAGTGAAGCCTTGGCTGGAGGTCTTGCTGTGGGACTGGGTTCCCACCTGGACCTGCTCGTGTGTCACCTGCTCTAGGTGACCCTGCCTTGGCCAGGGGGGTTGGACTGCATATCTCCAGAGGTCTCTTCCAGCCCTTACAATTCTGTGATTCTGTGCTGGTGGAGCATTTTTCTGACCCAGGAGCTGTCCCACTTCTGCTGCCGTTTGGAATCAATAAACCAGAGTGCCTGGTGCCTGCTGTGTTTGCAGAATGTGTGACCAAGTCACAGAGAGCACTGGAGACTGCTGAAAGAACCGAGATGGTTGAAATAGCTGAGATTGTGTGACCTGAGGTTGTATGAACTGAGATTGTTTAAACTGAGATTGCTGTATGAAATAACAGGGCTGAGGGAGCACTGGGCCCGGGCCCTGAGACAGAAGTTTGCAGTGCAGAGTCTCCAGGATTTGGGATTAAGCCGTGACATGAGAACGACACGTTAATCATAGAGCCTCTCCGGGGGTGGTTATTGACATTGAAATGAGCCTGATTTGTGTCTGGTCTGGGAATAGAGGGCCAGCACTTTCCCTCTAAACATGTGCAAATTGCAGGAGCTTGAATCAAGGCGTCACTTGTCAGGAAAGAACTGCAGAGGCACCAAAGCACAGCAGCGGGCAGTTGCTTGTTGCTGTTTCTGGGAATGCTAAAACTGTACCAGCCATAACTTTTGCTCCTTCTTCCAGGCCATTTTCTTTGGTGGGATTGATATTTCCATCCGTGGGGAGGTGTGGCCCTTTCTGCTGCACTACTACAGCTACGAGTCCACCTCTGAAGAGAGGGAGGCACTGAGGCTGCAGAAGAGGAAAGAATACTTTGAGATCCAGGAGAAAAGGTAACAGACCATCATCATCATCATCCTGCCCTGCTCATCTTCCTTGGGCCTGATGTCACAGTGACACCTCAGTCCCTGCGTCCTTTGCATCAGGAGAGGCTGCAGTAGAGGAGTGGGAGGGATGGTGAAGGAGGTGTGTTGGGCACTGCTGACCCCCTGAGGCTCTGGAGCCAATGCCACAGAGCTCAGACCTTTCCTTACCTGGGCTCTGGAAACAGCCTCGTCAGTACCACACCTGGAAACCTCATAGGCAAGGCTCAGGTTAGAACACTGAAGGTGAAATTGGGATCTTATATTTCTTTGTAAATAAAATGTACATAAAAATAAGGGATGAGAAGGGTTATGTAATTCCAGAAGGTTATTAATGCAAGAATTGTGTGTTGTTAAATGGAGGTGAGTACATTGAATCTGAGAGGGACAGTACTGTTAATAATGAGGAGACAATCAAACCAGAGTGCTGAGTTCTCAGGAGCAGTGGAGAGCAGAGTCTGATGCTTCTGAAGCGTTTACTGCAGCAAACACATCGTGTCATCCCGTTTATAACCCAGGAGGCTCCTTCCAGTAATCCCTTGGGACAGACAATCCACTGTTCTGGACAGACCTGCTGGTCTGTTTTCCAGGTGCTGAGGAAACTCAGTACAGGAGTAGTTTTTCTCTGCAAACTAAGACTGAAATGGAGCTTTTTATTTGTTGTGGCAGTCCCATTCCTCTCTTGGTAACCTCTGCTGTGGCTGGGTGGTTTCCAGGCTGTCCATGACCCCAGATGAGCAGAAGGATTTCTGGCGCCAGGTGCAGTTCACAGTGGACAAGGATGTGGTGAGGACTGACCGCAGCAACCAGTTCTTCCGCGGGGAGGACAACCCCAACGTGGAGACCATGAGGTGCAGTGTGTGATCCTAAAACACCATGTCCTGCTCAGTGGAGAGACAAGTTGGTCAGCCCCCAGCCCAGGCTGCCTGGGATTGCTGCACAGCACCCACCGTGCATCTGCAACCACGGGCTGCAACAGCAAGGCCTTCCCCAGTGCTCCCACTGCTGCTGTAGCTCCCTTCTCCATCCTGTAACCCTGCTCCCATCCCTGAGCTTCCCTCACACACAGGAGGCATTTGCATGGGTCTGTGGTTCTCCTGGTGGGCTACAGGACAAGCACACCAGAGTCTGCTCCATGAGAGTGTAAAGGTGTGACCTCAAAAGACTTGGTTTTCATCCAACAGCATGGCTTGGAACTTTATGGATGTGCTGGGCATCGTCTCTCCTTTCCCACGGGCCCTTCATTTCTGTCCTCTTAATCTTTTAAAATTCTTGTTTCCTGTTTGTACCTGTGAATGCCAAACCTTTTCCTGAAGTTTATGCTGCAATACTGTGGTGTGCTGCAGGGTTTCCCTGTCTGTGTTATAGCACCTCACATGAGGCCCTGTGTCTTTGTCCCTGAGATGATGCTGTCACCTGCCCTCACCTGTCCCCTCTCCATTTCTGTCTCTGCTTCAGGAGGATCTTGCTGAACTATGCAGTATTTAACCCAGCCATTGGATACTCCCAGGGCATGTCTGACCTGGTGGCCCCACTCCTGGCAGAGGTCCTGGATGAGTCAGATACTTTCTGGTGCTTTGTTGGGTTGATGCAGAACACGATCTTCATCAGCTCCCCCCGGGATGAGGACATGGAGAAGCAGCTGGTGAGGCTGAGTGCTGGGCTCCCTTCAGCCCTCTCAGGGCTTCTCCTCTCCCCAGTTCCCTGGGCTGGGGGGGTTCCAGCATGCCAGATCACACTCCAAAGCCACTCCATCCTTGGGGTGCTCCTGCAGGGCTGGGAGCTGCACTTTGATGATCCTTGTGGGTCAGTTCCATTTACAGGTAAATGCCCATAGGATTCTAGGATTCTATGGAAATACCTGGTGGGTAGAATTGATCCTGGATGACTGTGGCACTCAGAGGCAGTTACACCCACCCTTCTAGGGGAGTGGCAGCTGAGAGAGAAGAGCTCTGCAGCTCTGGCTCCTGGGGTGCTGAGGGGAGCTCCAGCCCAGGAATTGTTTTGCAGCTGTACCTGCGGGAGCTGCTGCGGCTGATGCACCCCCGCTTCCACCAGCACCTGTGTGTCCTGGGAGAGGATGGGCTGCAGATGCTTTTCTGCCACCGCTGGATCCTGCTCTGCTTCAAGAGGGAGTTCCCCGAGGCCGAGGCTCTGCGCATGTGGGAAGCGTGCTGGGCTCACTACCAGGTGAGTCCTCACCCCTCAGCATTTCCAGAAAGGCTCCTAGCAGCAAAGCAGCCAAAATAAATCGGCTCTCTGACTGTGGCAGGGGTTTATGTATGTAGCAGGAGGATTGAGCCCTGCTTGCCTCTCTTCCTTGGGGATGTCTGGGCTTCATAAGGAGGTGTTTCAGAAGATGCTGAACACCCACTTCTGAAGTTCAGGCTTCTCTTACACAGCTGGGAAATGTTTTCCAAAAAGCTGCTCCGTGGTGCAAACACTGGTGCAGACCTTGTTGCTGTGCTGTGAAGGAAAGAGGCTTTAGCTTGGCTAGGGTTCAGAGGTCACCAGTAACTCACATTCTCACCACTGGGAGAACTGAAAGGAGCAAAATCCCTCACCAGGACCTGCTTGTGGAGGGTGGGAGGTGAAGCCAGAGCTCTGCCTCCACCTGCTGTACAGCAGCCCCTGTGTTCCCATTGCAGACAGACTATTTCCACCTCTTCATCTGCGTGGCCATCGTGGTGATTTATGGGGACGACGTCATCGAGCAGCAGCTGGCCACTGACCAGATGCTGCTGCATTTCGGCAACCTGGCCATGCACATGAACGGGGAGCTCGTACTCAGGAAGGTAAATGCCCAGGTGCCCACGTGGGACAAGGTCCAGGCATGAGTCAGAGTGTTCAGAAAACCGGGGAGTGCTGCTTCAGCTTTGCATCTCCTGTATCCCTGTGGCCGCCTGGGATGCTGCTGTTTGCCAAACAAGGTTTGCAGCAGGAAGAGGTGGCTGCTGAGTGCTTGGGAGGTGCCAGTGTGGTTGGGATAACCCTTGTTTGGATACCCTGCTCAGGGAAATGGAGACAGAGCTGTTAGTGCCGTGGTGCCCATTCCCTTTCAGCTGGCAGCGACTGGGCCATGGGGTGAGCTGTGGTGGGTGGCAGCCCCTGTCACCTGCCACTGTCCCCAGGACACTCCTTTGCTGAAGCCCAGGCAGCCAAACGGGAGGATTGGGCGGGAGGCCACCTCAGCTCTCCATGTTGATGCCCTGCTGAGGGCTGAGTGTTTTCCCTCCCTCTCCCTCCAGGCCAGGAGTCTGCTCTATCAGTTCCACCTGCTGCCCCGCATCCCCTGCAGCCTGCACGACCTCTGCAAGCTGTGTGGGACAGGCATGTGGGACAGTGGCTTCATCCCCGCCGTGGAGTGCTCTGGCCACCACCCAGAGTCCGAGAGCTGCCCCTACGGGGGGCTGGTGGAAGAGTCTTCTCCTAAACCAGGAAGTGAAGGCAAGAGGGGCCTGAAAACACGGGATGTCTTTGCCTTCCGAAAATAGCTGAGAGGAACAGGGTGCGACGGCGGAAGGGAAGGGCAGGAAGGATGTGCATAGGAAAAAATGCTGAAGAAAAAAATGGAGGAATAGCTTGTCAAGACTCCTGAGAAGACTGGAAGGTGTGGAATGGAAGAGGAATGAAATTGCCCCATAGGGGAAGTTCCATTGCATGGGTGATGGAACCTGAGAGAAAGGCATCGACCCAGGAACTGTGTTTGATTTTGTTAGAAACAAGTTTTTCTAGGTTTTAATAAGGACTTTTTATTCTGCCTCTGGGACTGGACTGGTTAGCAACCAGAACTTTCTTACTTGCTGGTGAGGAAGGAGAGAACACTCCAGGGAGCCGAGGCTGCCCAGAAGTGTTGGTGGGCAGGTGGCAGAGGCAGAGCCACGGCCACTGTCCCCTCACCCAGAGCACACCACGCTCTCTGCTTCAACCAAAACCTGCAGCTTGGTGGCTTCTTTTTAAAGCCATAAAAGCCATTTTAATTATACTCTGCCAAAAATAAAACTGCAGACCGTTGGGATTGCAGGGAAGATGTCTGCTTTGTCAGCAAGGAAGGATCAGTGACCTTAAAGTCTCATCTCTGGCCTTTTCTGGTTTTATAGGACACACTGGCTGACATGATTCTTTTCCATTTTTATAGAAAATGGACTGCCCCAGGTGTCAGAGCACTGCTGCTCTGAGTCAGGGTATTTCACAGACACTGCCCACAGTTTCTTTCTTCATGAGATATTGGGAAGGAATTCTTCCCTGGGAGGTAGGTGAGGTCCTGGCACAGGATGCCCAGAAAGGCTGTGGCTGCCCCTGGATTCTTGGAAACGTCCCAGGCCAGGCTGGATGGGGCTTTTTGCAACCTGGGATAGTGGAAGGTGTCTCTGCCCATGGCAGGGGGTGGAATGGAATGAGCTTTAAGCTCCCTTTCAACCCAAACCATTCTAAGATTCTCTGACATTACAGCAAAGCTGTTTCTTTATGCTGACAACTGCAGACTTTAATACTTCAGTCTGTTGTTTCCAGTGTGTTTCCCATTGTGTTTCCTTTGGCTCTCCTCAATTACTGAGTATTTACTGTCCTTGCCTGTCACTGCCACAGCCTGTGGCACATACACTCCGTGTGGCTCTTCAGTCAGTGCCAGGGGTGCTCCCTGTCCCACATCCCAAAGTGAAAATGAAACTTGCCTTGTTGCAGTGGTTTTTGCTGAGCTCTGTCTGATAAAGGTTTCCCTTGGGGTGTTTTTGAAAGGACAGTGTTTTCTCCCCACGTCTGCTATAAATTTTGCCAGCCAGAAGCAGAGCTGGGGCCTTGAGCCCTGTTGCCAAAGGTTCTCACCAAATTCCGTGGCCTCCAAAGGCGTGTCCTGAGCCAGTGTTTGTGCCAAAGGGAGCCAGGGGAGCAGTTTCCTTGTGGGGGTGGAAAAGGAGCCGAGGTGGCAGCAGGCTGTGCCTCCCTGCATCCCTCTGCAGCCTTCCCTGGCTGCCCTGCTCCCCCTCACTCCCTCCACTGCTGTCCTGGGCAGGCTCACTTCCCAGCCCTGCCTCTCAGGAATGTTTGTGCCCTCAGTGGGACATGTGGAACCACCGTGTCCTCGGGCAGAGCTGGGTGGGTTCCTGCACCTGACAAGCACATTTCTCTCAAACTCCTCCTGCAAAGCCTCACCCAGAGCCTGTCCTGGAGCCCTGTTCCTGCTGGGAAGGGAGGCTGGAGCTCGGATGCTCCGTGTGAACCAGCAGCAGCCAAGAGCACACGGCGTTCCTGAATGGGGGAAGCCTTGACCCACTGAAGGCAGCCAGGGGCTGGGGAGTTGAGTGGCAGAAGGACAGTTCAGCTCCCAATCTGTGTGCCTTTCATCCGGGGCATGGAAACCCACTCGGAAAGGCACAGCTCAGAACCAGCCCAGCCACAGCACCGAGGCTGCAGGTGTGAGCTGGGGCTTGGCAAGGGACACCTCGTGGAAGGGCTGGGGCTGCTTTGCTGTGGGGCAGGGACTTTGTCAAGGTTTGTGATGTTTCAGTGATAATAAAAGTTTGTGTGAGGCTTTTGTGTGTCCACTGCTGTGCAGGCTGGGGACAGCAGGCACCATCCCCAGCTTGAGCCACCCCTTTTACAGCCACCCAGAGCTGTACTGGGGCTGGGGCTGCATTGCTGTCCCCAGGCTCTGTCCCGAGGACCTGTGACAGCACTCCACGGCTCCATCCACATGGAAGCTCCAAGTGACACTGGCTGAATTCAGGTCAGAAAAAGCACACGGCAGAAAATGCCAGAAGCATCTCGGTGGCACGGGGACAGGTGCCAGCTGCCCAGGGGGACAGCAGGAGCCAGACACTGCCTTGTGCCACATGCCAGCCCCGTGTGGCACAGGGGAACAGCCCCTGCTGGGCTCACGGGGTGCTGGGCACAGGAAACAGCCCCTCCTCACCTCCCACTGCCTGCCGTGGGCTGGGAGGCTCCAGCAAACCCCTCCCAGAAGAGCCAGAGCTGGTTTTGCTGCAGCACTCGTTCCCAGCCAGTAAAAGACAATAGGAAGAGATGAAGTAGATAATTTGGAGCGTTATTTTTCCACTATTAAAATGTCATTCAGCAATGTGGAAATCACTCAGGATTCGTTTAGTTAAAGACTCTGCACTGCAGCTTTCCAGCATGTGGAATAAGCTGGGTTCAGTTTGAAGCAGGGCTCAGCTCTGGCTGGGCATCCCTGGGACCAGTTGCCACCTTTGGCCACTCTGCCATGCCTGGCGTGCCCTGAGTGTCCCTCTGCCAGCAGGACACTTCAGGTGTCTGTCCCTGTGCTCCCCCTGGAACTCCCCGTGCCCCTGGCACACACTGACCCCACTCTGCCACAGTCAGGGACACAGAGGGATGGAGCTGCTCCCCAGATGATCCCAAGGACCAGCTGAGCTCACATCTCAGTGACCCAGTTCCAGTCTCAGCCTGTCCTTGACTTGCCATGCCATTATTTAACTCAACTGCAGATCCACAACCATCTGAGCTTGTCTAGGGGGAGACAGGGTCAGGGAAGCCAACCTGGAGGTCTCTGGAAGTGCTTAGGATAGCACTGGAAGCAACCTTGGGATCTCCCTGCAGTGGAAATGGCCACGAGTCACACATTGGACAGGGCAGTGCATTTCTAAGATCCTTCTGACCCATCCCCAAGATTTTCCTTTGTGACACTCCTTGCCATCTGAAAAAAAAAAAAAACCAAACCAAAACTCCAAGGAACAAAAAAGCAGCCGAGCTTGGGTCCCTACAGAGGAGGGAAGTGGGTCCCAGGAGCAGTGACCCTCACGTGGCGTCTCCAGTCCTGCCCTGAGCGTTGCATTAGCAGCTGAGCAGCCCAAAATAGCCCCTGGAGAAGGTAAATAGTCCGTGTAAGCCTCTTTAGCCTGGAGCTGCCACATCCTCCTGCCTGCCGGGGGGCAGGGGAGCAGGGAGGAGCAAACCCCAGTGCTGTGTCCCACAGTAACGCCAGGATCTGTGATCCCTGCGGGAACCCCGTCCCCTCCTGGAACCCCCAGAGAAGGGAGCAGAGCACCGCACACACCTCGGCGTGGAGACTGCGCTGGTCCCGGCACAGCTGGGCGGCTGCTGGGCACGGGGGACAGGGGACAGGGGACAGGGGACAGGGGACAGGGGACAGGGGACGCCACACGGTGTCCCGGCTGGGAGGGGACCCGGAGCTGTCCCACGCCTGGGCGAGCAGGAGGGGGTCAATGGCCAGCGTCGTTTGTCCTTGACATTGAGCACTGACCACACAGGTCTGGCCAAACTGCCCCTGGGGTTTCTGCAGTGGGGAAATTGTCACCTGGGAGTGGGGCAGGGGCAGGTGGAGGGGCTCGGTGCCACGTCCCAGGGCTGGGTGTGTTTGGATGTGGCTGTTTGGCTGTTTTGTCAAGGGACGCTGCCTGTCAAATGAGAAATTACAGCTCACAAGAACAAAGAGACTCACCTGAGTTATTACAAGCACTAAAGAATTTCAAACCCAATGTAGCCTGTCCTCCTGGGCTGGCTGATTAATCCCCGGGTCGCTCTGCTTGGGCCATAAAAATAGACCAGTCGGGCCGGCTGGAGCTCAGGGGCACATCCTGCCCCGGGCACTGGCCCAGCCCGAGCGCTCCGGGCTCTGCACGCCCTTTCTTTGGCTCATTTGAACACAAACACAGCTCGCCGTGAGTTCCCAGGGCTCCTGGAAGGAAAGCAGAGGCTGGGGCAGCCCCGCAGAGCCCAGCAGGAGCTGTGCCAGCCGTGCCAGCTCGGACTCGCCCCGGGGCTGGAGTTGCCCACCCAGAGGAGGGGGAAGCCCTGCACGTGGCTGTGCCCCACACCCAGCCCTTCCCAAAACCTCCGGAGTGAGCACGGACACAGCCCGGGCATCCCAGCGAGGGCACCTGGTGCCAGCCACACTTCGGGTGTTTCTTGCCAGCCAGGAGGGGCTCTCAGGCAGCCCCCAGTGCTCCAGTGCCCCCCACAGCAGATCCCTCTGAGCTGAGCGAGGTCAGGCCCTGCCAGAGCTCCTGCTCCGTGTGGCAGAGCAGCAGCAGGAGAAGGAGCAGCCTAAGGACTCTCCCTGGGATTTTTGATTTTGTTTGGCTTGGCTTTGTCTTTCAGAAACCACAAACAAGTTCAGCCTCTTCTGTCTGCGGCCGAGGCTTGACTAACCTTGGCGGGGGCAGAGGCGGCCGGGGAGGTGCTGAGGGATGGGGATCTGCCAAAGTCCTCTCTGAGGTTCCTGCAGGGGACACGGGGCCTGTCACAGAGCCCAGGGACACGGCAAACCCCTGGCACAGCGATCCCAACCCCCTGCCTGACCCCGAGCCCCAGCACTGGGCACAGCCTGTGCTGTGGATGGAGCAGGGAGCCCTTCGGTGCTGCTCCTGCTGCTCAAGGCACCTGCCACGAGGGCTGCCTGGCCCAAATCGGCTCCAGCAGCCGGGTCCTGGGTTCAGGAACTCAATTTCCACATATTTCAGGTGAAGGTGGCAGTGAAAAACTTCCAGCCGTGACTGGAAACGCTGCAAACAGCCCAAACACCAGCTGGCCTTTAGGCCCTGTGCCAAGGGGATCACACTGCCCCATGCCAATGCCAACAGCAGCACTGGGAAATCCTCCCGGGGATCGGGAACAGCAGAGACAGCACATCCCGGGCTCTGGAGCAGCCAGGGCAGCAGCACCCGGCCGGGATGCAGCATGGCCAGGAGCACTGGCACAGGGGAGCCACGGAAAGGTGCAGGAGAGCCGGGGCACAGCTGGAGCACAGCTGGGGCACAGCTGGGGCACAGCTGGGGGATGCTCTGTCCCCTCCTGCAGGTGTGGCTGCCACAGCCGGGGGGTCACAGCCACGCCGGCCGCGGCTGCAAGAGCCCGTGCTCAGGGTGCCAGGAAAGGGTTAAGGCGCTGCCGGAGCGGGAATGAGAGCAGGGAATTCAGCTGCTGACGCAGGTAGGATCTGCCGGCGCATCCCCGTGCAGACACAGCAGCGTCACCCTCAGCTCCTGAGCTGCTTCAGAGCCCTCCGAGAGCGGCGAGTGGGCGAC